TATTAGGAAGTGCAACCTTGCTGGAGGAAGTGTGTTAGTGTAGAGGTGGGTTTTGAGGTCTCATATGCTCAAGCCTTGTCCGGTGTCTCAGTTCACTTCCTGTTGCCTGCAGGATCAAGATGTAACTCCTCCATTCAGCTCCTTTTCTAGCACCATGTCTGCCTGTATGCCTCCATGTCCTGCCATAGTAATGGACTAAAGCTCTGAAACTGTAAGCCACTCAATTAAAGGCTTCCCATGATTTGCCATGGTCATCCTGTCTCTTGACAGCAATAGAAACCCTAACTAAGATACTTTATTTCATATGAAAATGTGTAACAGCCATGTGGTGGCTGTGCACACCTTTAATCCCAGCACTCACGAGGCAGCAGTAGGCATATTTCCGTGAGTTCAAGGCCCAACTGGTCTAAAAACATGTAAGAAAAAAATTTAAGATATATTTTAAATTAAAAAGAAATTCTGTGTGTGAGTGTGTGTTTGTGGGTGGGCACTTGTGCATGCAGCACCTGCAGGGGCCAGAAGAGGGCATTGGACCCCATGGGACTAAAGTTACAGGGTGTGTGAGCTGCCCTCATGAGTACTAGGAACCGAGCTCTGGTCCTCTGGGGAGCAGCTGTTCACCTCTGAGTCATCTCTCCAGCCCCAGATTTATTTTATTTTTAATTTATGTACCTGTGTGTGGGCATGTAGTCATGGGTACAGGGGTCCTCAGAGGGCAAAGGCATCAGAGCCCCTGGATCTGGAGGTAGAGGTGGTCGTGAGCCATCTGATATGGGTGCTGGGAATGGAGTTTGAGTTTTTACAAGAGCAGCAATTGCTCTTAACTGCTGAACCATCTCTCCATCCAAATACAACCAAATATATTCTATTCTTTTTTTAAAATATTTATTTATTTATTATGTATACAATATTCTGTCTGTGTGTATGCTTGCAGGCCAGAAGAGGGCACCAGACCTCATTACAGATGGTTGTGAGCCACCATGTGGTTCCTGGGAATTGAACTCAGGACCTTTGGAAGAGCAGGCAATGCTCTTAACCTCTGAGCCATCTCTCCAGCCCTATTCTATTCTAATAGTATATCCTGATGTTTTTTTTTGTTTGTTTGTTTGGTTGGTTGGTTGATTGGTTTTTCGAGACAGGGTTTCTATGTAGCTTTTCAGCCTGTCCTGGAACTAGCTCTTGTAGCCCAGGTTGTCCTCGAACTCACAGAGATCTGCCCACCTCTGCCTCCTGAGTGCCAGGATTAAAGGCACGTGCCACCACCTTGATTTTTTTTATTGTTTGTTTGTTTTTGATAAACCCTCCTATATCAGAGTGGAAGATGACCTCTGACTCCTGACCCCGCTGGCTGTCCCCTAGCACCACAGCTGTGCACACATTTCCACACCTGATTTATTTAGTGCTAAGGATCTAACTCTGGACCGACCGGGTGCCTGCTTGGCAGGTATTCAAATGCTGAGCCACACCCTAGCTTTCCTGCTAGAGGGTTAGCATGCATGTGAGTGTTTTGCTTGCCTGTGGGTCAGCACCATTTGCAATCGCTGTTAGAGGAGACCAAAACAAAGTGCTGGGTCCCTTGAAACTGGGGTCATGGACAGTTATGGAGTCATGTGGGTGCGGGGAACAGAACTTAAGACCTCTGCAAGAGCAGCAAGTTCTCTTAACCACTTGCCATCTCTCCAACCCCCATGACAGAGTTGCTTGTTAGTAGCCTTGCCTGTCCTGGAACTCGCTTTGTAGATCAGGCTGACCTCAAACTCATGGAGATCAGTGTTGGAATTAAACGTATGCACTTCTGCTGCCTTCCTAACTGTGACCCTTTAATACAGTTCCTCATGTTGTGGTGACTCCCAACCAGAAAATTATTATTTTTTTGGGGGGGGGGGCAGGTGTTTATTAGAGGGTTTTGAGGTTTTGTTTTGTTTTTGTTTTTTTGGTTTTTTTTTTTTTTTTTTTTTTTTTTTGGTTTTTCGAGACAGGTTTTCTCTGTGGTTTTGGAGCCTGTCCTGGAACTAGCTCTTGTAGACCAGGCTGGTCTCGAACTCACAGAGATCAGCCTGCCTCTGCCTCCCAAGTGTTGGGATTAAAGGCGTGCGCCACCACCGCCCCAGAAAATTATTTTTATTGTTTCTTCATGACTGCAGTTTTTGGTACTGTTATGAATCATAATGTAAATACCTGATATGCAGAATTCTTACTCACAACCTTCAAAGGGGTCACAACCCACAGGTTGAGAACCTCTGCTCTAAGCTGGGTGGTGGTGGCGCATGCCTTCAATCCCAGCACTAGGGAGGCAGAGGCAGGCGGATCTCTGTGAGTTCGAGACCAGCCTGGTCTACAAGAGCTAGTTCCAGGACAGGCTCCAAAACCACAGAGAAACCCTGTCTCAACCCCCCCCCCCAAAAAAAGAGAACCTCTGCTCTAAAGAAACCAGGGATGTGAAATACAAAGTGGTATCTCTCCCCCCCCCCCCCCCCCCCCCCCCCCCCCCCCCCCCCCCCCGTTTCGAGACAGGGTTTCTCTGTACAGCCCTGTCCTAAAATTCACTCCGTAGACCAGGGTGACCTTGAACTCAGATCCACCTGCCTCAGCCTCTCGAGTACTGGGATTAAAGGCCTGCACCACCACTGCCCAGCTAGGATTGTCTCTTCAAAAAAAAGAGATTTATAAACTGTTTTCAGCCCAGAAGGCCGAAATGTTAACAAGGTGACCTCTGCTCTATCTTTATGACTGACATCACACCAGATCCTCCCCAGCCTGTAAGATATCCACGGAACACATCCTTACAGTGACATGTACCTGAAGAGTTTTATTATGCACACAGGATTGTGTTACATGAGGAAACTTTTTTCTAAATTGTACTGCACACAAACATGCCTGAAATAAACTGCCCTGGGTCAGACCCTGGAAGTTTGAATCCTGTTAAAGCAGACTTTCTTTTTGCCTCCCAGGGACAGTGTTTGCAGAGATCCTCCCCCCCACACACACAACAATCCATCATGTCCCAGAAGTCCAGATCGCAGGAGCTTGAACCAGGGACATTGCATGCACAGTCAGGAAAAAGCAACGAACGCAGGCTGCTGCTTAGTTCCTTTTCTCCACTTACACAGTCCAGGATCCAGCCAGGGACCACACACCACACACACACACACACACACACACACAGTAGGTTGGCCTTCCTACATCAAAGCAACCAAGATAACCCTCCAGAGGCGTACCAGCGGACCTATCTGCTAGGTGACTATAGATTCTACCTAGTTGACATTTAGCATTAACCATCACAATGACATTTGTATATTTATTTATTGTGGTACAAAGGATGTGTTTTATCAAAACCACAGCAAATAAGTGGGCTTTTGTCCATTTTTCTTATTTTTCTATTTGAGGCATGGTCTCACTCTATAGACCAGGCTAGACTTGAATTCACTGTGTAGCCAAGGACGGCCTTAAACTCCTTTGCCTTACTCCAACTGTGTGCCAATATCCGTGGCTTGTGTGATGTTTGGGCTCAAACCCACACCTTCTTGCATGCCAGGCAAACTCTCTACCAACTGAGCCCACATCCAGTCCACCCAGTACAGTCCTTAAAAGTTGCCTTCTATAGCGGAGCAGCATTTGTTAGGAATTTGCATAGACTGCACTAGCTCTGGTCTCTGTGGCCAGACAGGTCTTGAACTTGAGATCTCCTGCTGTAACAGGGCCCCAGACCTCAACACAATTGATTCCATGATGGAAGAACCATGCAGGCCATAAAACTCAGTGTATAGACAGCACCACCTGCCAAAACAAAAACAAAGACCTAATCCATCAAAGTCCATACGTAGTTCTAGGAAAGTATCTAAATGTATAAACCTTGCCTTTTGGCTTCTGTGGTTCTGTTTCTGGCTAACTGTTCTTGCTAAATGAAGTATGTCAACCCAGGACAAGGTTTTTGTGCTCAACCGCTCACCCTGAGAAAGGCTTGGCGCTACACTGAGATCCCAAACATCCAGTATGAGCCGGACGGTGGTGATGCATGCATTTAATCCCAGCACTCAGGAGGCAGAGGCCAGCCTGGTCTACAAGAGCTAGTTAGTTCTAGGTCAGGCTCCAAAGCTACAGAGAAACCCTGTCTCGAAAAACAAAAGCAAACATTCAGTATAGTAGCCAGGTTACTAATAAAGATTTTCTATTGGCTCAAATCAATGTCTGAGCAGTGTTCTCTGGTGGATACCCTACAACGCTGCCTCAGCCTCCCTGGTAGCTGGGACTAGAAGCCTGTCCTACCAGGCTTGGCTTCGCTAGCTCCATTTTGGAAAATAACCAGCCACATAATCAATCACCTTTCATCTCTGAAATCGCATGAGATGTCATTTGACTTAGTTCTGATCAGCCCTGTATGTTCCCCAAATTCGATGCGTTTGGTTTCAGTCTTTTTCCTCAAAGCTGCTACCTTCCCTGGAATCAAGAAGCACTTCTGAAGAAGCCGGGCGATGGTGGCACACGCCTTTAATCCCAGCACTCGGGAGGCAGAGACAGGCGGATCTCTGTGAGTTCGAGACCAGCCTGGTCGACAGAGCTAGTTCCAGGACAGGAACCAAAACCACAGAGAAACCCTGTCTCGAAAAACCAAAAAAAAAAAAAAAAAAAAAGGGGGGGGGGGAGTGTGAGGAGGGAGGGGAAACTGTAGCCAGTATGTAAAATAAATGAAAAAAATGTTATTTAAATTTTAAAAAATCGGGGCTGGAGAGATGGCTCGGTGGTTAAGAGCACTGCCTGCTCTTCCAAAGGTCCTGAGTTCAATTCCCAGCAACCACATGGTGGCTCACAACCATCTGTAGTGAGGTCTGGTGCCCTCTTCTGGCCTGCAGACATACACACAGACAGAATATTGTATACATAATAAATAAAAATAAATAAATAAATAAATAAATTTTAAAAAATCGACAAGGGGCGGAGATATGGCTCAGAGGTTCAGAGCACTGGCTGTTTTTCATCTATAGTGAGAAGTGCGCCCTCACTTGGTGTGCAGGCAGAACACTGTATACACACTAAATAAATACTACAAAAAATCGACAAAACCATGCTCCATTTTCTGACACAGTCCATCCAGGACTTGCTATAGGGAACTTTCATTTCTTTGTTTCCTTGGTTGCTGTAGTATCTTCTCCAAGCACTCTGGAGACGGCTACCTCTTCTAGCAGTAGGACCAGACAGTCTCTCCCTGGAGGGCTTAGTTATTGAAGAAATGTAGGAGGCCCTTAGAACACACTGAATATGGAAGTCACCTGACATCGACCCCAAGGCTTTTGTAATCAGCCAGGCTCCGGTAGGCCACATGGTTGATCAAGCCATTTTATCTCTTTCAGGAAAAACACTGAAAGCTCATTCCAGAATACAAAAACTAGTTTTGTTAATAGCTCCGTGGGGTCAGAGCTATGTTTTGTTAATGTGTTTCCATTACTAAGGCTTCTGCCGTGGAACCCGATTTTCCCAGGTGGGTGGGCCAGTCGGACCCTGGTCTTCATTCTGCTGTTGGCCAGTTCCCCCAAGAGACTTCAGAGTGCAGTGCGGGTTATAGCAGCGTTTGCAGCAATGCTGAATGGACTATTTCAATAACCGCTTCAAACAAACAATGTTTCTTTGAAAGCACATATATAAATGTGTTTGCAAATGGGGTTAGTCCCTCGTGTGAAAAGGGTCTGCAGCTGCTAAATAGAAAAATCTTCAAGTGAATCAGAAGTGACTCTAGAGGTTGGAAAACGGTGGCAGGGTTTCGCGATCTCGTATGAAACCCCGCCAGGGCTACATCTGAGCACCTTCCAACCCCCAGATCGATTTTTGTTTCTGTCACCTTTCACCTTTCAAATCATTTCCATTCAGCAAAAGCAGTCCACTCAGGAGAACAAGGGCAATGTGACTTCTGTCCCCGAAACCCCCTGTGTGCAGCGATGGAAAACAACGTTTTAGTTTTTAGTGAGTGCCCAGCATGGATGTAGGTAATGAAGAGGATTCTGCCTTTCCATAGCAGCCCTGGGCTTTCTGTGTGGCCATCAACCCCAGTTCGTTCAGATCCAAGTGCTTCTCAACACGGAGACTCCTTTCTAGCAAAGGGTCTGTTAGTGTTTTTTTCGTTTGTTTGTTTGTTTGTTTTTGGATGAGCAGACGGAATGTATCCTTGATTTGGCACTAGTTCCTGGGCAAAAAGCTAGGTCTTCACTGACAACCCTTTGTTCTATCTACGGGTTCCTGCAGTGTCTCCGAACGTCCAGCAGATGGCGGCGCAGCTGAATTTTCTCGAGATCTTGTGCCTGCCACGCTGGCAGAAGGCCGGGGAGCTGGGGGGGAAAACAACAAAACAGGAAGGAGACTTTAAAAAAGAAATTCTAATGTTCGACATATATTGCTTTTTGTTGCTGTTGTGTCCGTCTCTTTTTATTAGAATTAGTGGAATTAAAGCTGAAGTCTTTAAAAAAAGTTGACTCTTTAAAAAAAAAAAGTTGACTACAACTCAATATATGTATGTGTAGGACCCAGCCATGATGAGCTCAGTAGAGGCCCCCTATTGGTAGTTTTTTTTGGGGGGAGGAGGGGGTTCGAGACAGGGTCTCTCTGTAGCTTTGGAGCCTGTCCTGGAACTAGCTCTTGTATTGTAGACCAGGCTGGCCTCTAGCTCACAGAGATGCGCCTGCCTCTGCCTTCCGAATGCTGAGATTAAAGGCCTGTGCCACCACTACCAGGCTCCCTCTCAGTAGTTTACCATGAGGCGATACTGGTTCCAAGAAACGTCACAAACTGAGACCACCCAAGCACCACCCAGGAACAGACCATCCAAGGAAATTCCTAACATTTCAACTTTTATAGCTAGGATCACCTGCCAGCACACACCCATGGCTTTCAACAGGACGGCCCAAGACAAATGTCAGCCAATCAGGGGTCCTGAACCTTAGCAATCCCTCCCCCCAACCTTTGCTATTATAAACACCCCACCCCACCCCACCCTCCCGACTGAGCCCAGGGCTCTCAGAGCACGCCAATAGGATGGATATGCAGAGTCCACCTTCGAACTTGAATAAGAGCAAAGCTTCTTGGCTTTCACTTACAGGACTCCTAGTTAGTTTTGGGGGGACACTGTGATCTGAGCATAACAATATGCAGGCTAGTTTTGGTTTGTTTTTGCTTTTAGAAATATTTGCTCTTTGTTCGTTATGTTTTGCACTTTTTAAAAAAAGGATCTATTGCCGGGCGGTGGTGGCACACGCCTTTAATCCCAGCACTCGGGAGGCAGAGGCAGGCGGATCTCTGTGAGTTCGAGGCCAGCCTGGTCTACAAGAGCTAGTTCCAGGACAGGAACCAAAAACTACGGAGAAACCATGCCTCGAAAAATCCAAATAAATAAATAAATAAGGATCTATTCAAAGCAATGCCCAGCAAAATTTTTCAAAGACCTCCAAAGAACAGTACTCAACTTCATTTGGAAAAGCAAAAAACTCAGGATAGCCAAAACAATCCTGTGTAATCAAAGAACTTCTGGAGGCATCACAATCACTGACTTCAAACTCTACTACAGAGCTACAGTACTGAAAACAGCCTGGTATTGGCATAAGAACAGACAGGAGGACCAATGGAACCGAATAGAAGACCCAGATACCAATCCACACATCTTCAAACACCTGATCTTTGATAAAGAAGCCAAAAAAAAAAAAATCACATGGAAAAAAGAAAGCATATTTGACAAGTGGTGCTGGCATAACTGGATATCAACATGTAGAAAAATGAAAATAGACCCATATCTATCACCATGCACAAAACTCAAATCCAAATGGATCAAAGACCTCAACATAAAGCCAGCCACACTGAACCTTATAGAAGAGAAAGTGGGAAGTACACTTTGAATGCACTGGCACAGGAGACCACTTCCTAAATAGAACCCCAGCAGCACAGACACTGAGAGAAACAATTAATAAATGGGACCTCCTGAAACTGAAAAGCTTCTGTAAAGCAAAGGACATGGTCAACAAGACAAAATGATAGCCTACAGAATGGGAAAAGATCTTCACTAACCCCACATCAGACAGAGGGATGATCTCCAAAATATACAAAGAACTCAAGAAATTGGACACCAAAAGATCACATAATCCAATAAAAAAAAAATGGAGTACAGACCTAAACAGAGAACTCTCAACAGAGGAATCTAAAATGGCTGAAAGACACTTAAGGAAATGTTCAACATCCTTAGTCATCAGAGAAATGAAAATCAAAACAACTCTGAGATTCTATCTTACACCTGTAAGAATGGCCAAGATCAAAAATACTGATGACAACTTATGCTGGAGAGGTTGTGGGGAAAAGGGAACACTCCTGCATTGCTGGTGGGAGTGCAAGCTGGTACAACCCCCCTTTGGATGTCAGTATGGCGATTTCTCAGAAAATTAGGAAACAACCTTCTTCAAGGCCCAGTAATACTTGACAGAGAAACCCTGTCTCAAAAACAAAAACAACAACAACAAAAAAAAGACCCAGTAACACCACTTTTGGGTATATATCCAAAGGATGCTCAACCGTGCCACAAGGACATGTGCTCAGCTATGTTCATAGCAGCTTTGTTTGTCATAGCCAGAACCTGGAAACAACCTAAATGCTCCTCGGCCAAAGAAGGATAAGAAAAATGTGGTACATTTACACAACGGAGTACTACACAGCAAAAAAAATAAAAAAATAACGACAGCTTGAATTTTGCAGGAAAATGGATGGAACTAGAAAGCATTATTTTGAGTGAGGTAACCCAGACACAGAAAGACAATTATCACATGTTCTCACTCATAGGTGGTTTTTAAACATAAAGTAAAGAAAGCCAGCCTACAAACCACAATCCCAGAGAACTTAGACAACAATGCAGACACTAAGAGAGACTTACATAGATCTAATCTACATGGGAAGTAGAAAGTAGAAAAAGACAAGATCTGAGTAAATTGGGAGCATGGGGACTTTGGGGGAGGATTGAAGAGGGAAGAGTCATGGAGGGGAGCAGAGGAAAATGTAGAGCTCAATAAATATCAATAAAATAATAATAATAATAAAAGGATCTAGCCGGGCCGGGCGGTGGTGGCGCAAGCCTTTAATCCCAGCACTCGGGAGGCAGAGGCAGGCGGATCTCTGTGAGTTCGAGACCAGCCTGGTCTACAAGAGCTAGTTCCAGGACAGGCTCCAAAACCACAGAGAAACCCTGTCTCAAAAAACCAAAAAAAAAAAAAAAAAAAAAAAAAAAAAAAAAAAAGGATCTAGCCGGGAGTGGTGCTGCACGCCTTTAATCCCAGCACTCAGGAGGCAGAGGCAGGTGGATATCTGTGAGTTTGAGGCCAGCCTGGTCTACAGAGTGAGTTCCAGGGCAGGTTCCAAAGCTACACAAAGAAACCCTGTCTCGAGAAAGCACTTTTTAAAAATTATTTATTTATTATTTTTATTATGTGTTCATAACTCTGTGAGTTTATGTGTACCACCTGCATACAGTGCTTACAGAGGCCAGAGGCATCTGAAATCTTAGAAATGGAGTTACAGGCAGTTGTGAACCACGTGAATGTCGGAGCAGGAATCAAACTTGGTCCTCTGAAAGATCAGTAAGGACTCTATACTGCTGAGTTTTCGCTTCAGTCCTAAGTTTCTCTCTTTTTGAAAAGTACCAACAGGCAAGTTTTATTTGTTTTTTTTTTTTTTTGTTTTTTTTTTTTTTGTTTTTTCGAGACAGGGTTTCTCTGTGGTTTTTGGAGCCTGTCCTAGAACTAGCTCTTGTAGACCAGGCTGGTCTCGAACTCACAGAGATCCGCCTGCCTCTGCCTCCCGAGTGCTGGGATTAAAGGCGTGCGCCACCACCGCCCGGCTAACAGGCAAGTTTTAAATCTGTCTGTCTGTCTTATTTGGGTGGGAGTACTGTGGAGGGTAATGTACCGTTGGTACTTGCAATATCAGTAATCTCTTTCCAAGTGTATTCGAGGAATCAGTCTCAATCAGCAGGCTTGAGCTGTTAAGTACTTCTATCCCCTGAACCATTTGGCCTGGCCATGTTTTCAAATAGCAATCGTCATGAAAGCACAATGGGACTGGAGATACAGGTCAGTGGTACAATCCTTGGCTATGGTGCACAAGGCTCAGGGCTCAGGCGCTGCAAAACCCACAGAGAAGTAAATAAAATGTAAGGGAGATAATGGTGGATAGATACAATGAATACATGTTGTATAAATATATGAAACGTTAAAAGAATAAAATGTAACATTTTTAAAAGACAGGATGCTTCGGAACTAAAGAAAACGGGATAGCGACTCCAAAGGCGTGATGGCGGCGGGCTCACCCGCTGCGACAGAAATGGCCTGGTGGACACCGGGCAGTGGCCGCAGCGTCCGGACAGCGCCGCCTGCTGGTCAAAGCGGTAAAGAGCACCGCGCTGGGCAGCTGCCTGCAGGGCGTGGACCCTGCGCATTGCAGAGAGCCCATTCTTCACTAAGCAAGAACGTAAAAAGCTGAGGACATAGCCAGAGAGGTCCTTCTGCCGGGAAGAGAAAACTGATGCCTGCTATAGTTTGGGAAAGCAATGTCCCTGAGGGCTTTAGCGGCTTTAATGCTTCCAACAGTTAAAAAGGATGGGTTTGATTTTTATGATAACATTGCCATTTTAGACAACTCTAGTGGAGAATGGAAAAACGGAACCTGATAGGGGTCTGCTTTAATTTTATTTTACCTTGTATTAATGGGACTTACTAACTATTAAAAGAGGTTATAAGGCAGACTTGAAATATGAACAGGGCATGGCATTCTAAACGTGGAAGTGCTAGTCATTTCTTCCTGTCATTTTTATTCTAGGAACGGTGCGGTGAGATCTCTGGAGTCCCGCCTCCTCTCCCCACTTCCGTTTTCTCCTCACTCATTTGACAGGAGCCTCTGCACTCATCTCCTTAGAACACGTCATCACCATCCACTGGAAGAGTGGATTGTGGTACCACCTTTTCCCCCTATGGCTGAAGCCAGCAGGAAGATGACGGGCTGCTATCTGCTCTTGAGCCGGCCTGGTTGTCGGGAACTCTGCGGATGAAGCCAGATGAGCTCCTCCTTCTGTTGGCGTCATTGTGCAGGTGCCTTTTCAAGCACAGCTTTCGCCTGGTCCAACGATTAAGTCTTCCTTAGAGACTTCCACTACGAGTTTTGAGTTTTAAGAATCTTACACAATTTCGTTTTAGTTCCAGCAAGAGAATGCAGACCCACAGATGGGCGCTTCCATTGGACACTAGAACCTGCAATCGCGCAGTAGGCCAGGGCTGCCAGCAATATACCAGGGATCGGGGAGGCCCTTGAGGCCGTACTTCCCCTCTGAACTCTGACCACGAATGCAGCCTGGAAGAGAGGCAGCATTAGCTGTATACCCACCCAGTCCACCGTGTTCCAATGAAAAGTAGCAAACGGTTTAGGTCACAAAGGCACCGCTGGTTAACCCAGTGGGCCACAAAACAGACCAATAGACAAAGGTGTGGGAAAGGGAGGGATTCTAGATGAACACCAGGAGTCCTTTGTTTGGAGGACGAAAGCTGATATTTAGTAACTTTTAGTGAATAAGGCAGATAAACTTTTGTTTATCTGCAGAGAGGAAGAAGGGAATGCCTCCCTGTAACTCTATTGAAAGCGTCCTTCAGGGAGAAGGTACGAGAACAGAGCAGCTAAAAACTAGGAGACGATGCAGGCACACTTCTCCTGATTTGACCCTGGACTACTGAACCAAAGGTCACTAAACTAAGGCAGGACGGGGCTTGAGCCTCCCTGGAGGAGTCCCCAGAGGAAGTCTGGCTCACACAAAGCCAAGCCCTTCTTCACTGAAGGGGGGAGGGGAGCCGCTTTTTCTTTGTTGTTGAAGGTCTCTTCCAGGACACCCTGGTCTACAGAGCGAACTCAAGGACAGCCAGGGCTATATACAGAGAAACCCTGTCTGTCTCGGAAAAACAAAAAACAGGAAAAAGAAAGAAAAAGAAGAGTTCTCTCTTCTCTGTCTCTCTTCCTCCTCCCTTCCCCCTCTCTCTCACCTCCTCCTCCTCCAGCACCACCAGCTGCTCCCAAGAAGGAAGGCAAAATAAATTCCTCACTGATACCGCTCTGAGCCTCGAATCTTCCAGAGCCCTGAACTCTGACAAGCAAGGTCTAACCATATTAAGAATTCTAACCTGCTGTGCGTTCTGCTTTTCTCCTTCAGGAGTGCAAAACCCAAGGCCTTGTGCTCACTGCAGCAATTTTAATCCCCCACCCTTGGCGATTTTAATCTCAACTTCCAGACAAATTTTTCTGTGTCCTTCTCCTTAAAATGAAGTAAAATACAAAGCTCACCTTTAGAAGAGGCAATTCAGCCTTGATTGGAACTCGAAGCCTCACCAGGAGAGAAAGACTCCAGCCATCACACGCATTCCTTTCTCCATGTGCAAAATTAGTGTGTTGAGGAGTGCAGGGGCCTAAGCGAACCTCAGAGAAAAAACCTGTTACACAAGGAAGAGCTCTGACAGATGCAGAATGGGTGGGGACCCCATACCACACAATTATTATTTTTTTGGAAACAGGGTCTCTTTAAATTTTTTTTTGAATTTTGTTTATTGTTATTGTTTGTGTATGATGTGGGTGTCAAGAGTAAAAAAGAAAAAAAAGTTAAACCTCCAAAATCCCAGTTAGGGTTAGTCAGGTCATTTAGCCAAAGACCACCTCTTGGCTCCACCTTAGCTATGATAAAAAGACAGGAATCATAATTTAGTGAGAATTCATGTCCCTAGTGCAGCAGCTGGCAGGGCTGGGCCACCACAGCCACGTATTCTGAATTATTCTTGAAAAGCTGCTGGGCAATGTTGGTGCACACCTTTAATCTCAATATTTGGGAGGCAGAGGCAGGTGGATGGATCTCTGTGAAGTTGAGGCCAGAGTGAGTTCCAGGGCAGCTAGGAACCCTGTCACAAAAACAAATAAATAAAATAAAAAAATGCCCAGTGAACCATCTTCACAATCCTGGAGGAACTGGCAGCCCCTTTTGGGGCTCTTAGGTCTCCTTAATAAGATAACTTCAGAATGGACTCAAATGTAAGCTCGGGAACAATTTTATTAGCAGTTACAACCAAAGCAAGGCCAGGCAGACAAGCTGTAAATCTCCTGCCCAGAGGAGAATGGAAAAGGGAAAAACACACACAAAAAAAAATCCATTTGAGTTAAGCTGACACGGAGGTCAGAAACTACAGCAGCGAGGCAGACACTTTGAGCAAGAGAGAGGAGAAAAACTACCTTTCCTAAGTTCAGAGAAGCAGGTAGGCTTTGAAAGGAAACCTGGCAGCTCAGGACCCCAAGACCAAGTTCTCAGCACAAAGGAGATTGCCCCAGAGGGACAGAGGGGAGGGGTGAGGGATGGACGGGAGATAGAGGGTGGGGGACAAGGGAGAAGGGGCACTGGGGAAGGGGTATTTGTCCGGGGGGGGGGGGGGGACGACAAAGACTGCCTCTGGATAGAGAGGAAACTGGCTTACAGGAAAATGACCCTTGTAAAAGGTAGGAGGGGAAGCCCTGCCTTGGGATGAGGTGTTTAATTTTAATTGGGCATGTTAATTTAAGTGAGCCGAAGGGGGCTTCTGATTGCTGGATTTCAATACTTTGATAGCTGGACCTTGGTAGTCAGCCTCAGGAGGAGGGATTGGCCAAATAAGGGAACAGACCCTGTGGCTAGCTTCAGGAAGGTAATCAATGCAGCGGGAACTGGGGGAAAGTGCAGGCCTGCCAGAGCCACTGCTCCTGTGGGATAGTGAGTGTCTCTTCTGGTTTATGAAACTGGCCAGGTGTAGCCCTGCAACTACCCTGCTGAGGTAGAAATTCTGGGAAGGAAAGGCATTATCTCATTAAGGTATATTTAGTCCATCTTCTCTTTAGAATGGCGTCTGGTGACCTGCTTCCTAGAGGTGGTCCTGGAGCCAGGTCATTGGCCCACCCAACAAAAAAGTCAGGTCTCCAGTCAGGCCAGAGCTTTCAGCCTCTTTAGTCCTTTCTTATTGCTGTGTCACTGCCTCAAAATGGAGGATCTTTGTAGCCCCACATCCTTGATCCAGACTTAAATTCAAAATTGTCTCCCAGTTGGGCGGTGGTGGCGCATGCCTTTAATCCCAGCACTTGGGAGGCAGAGGCAGGTGGATCTCTGTGAGTTCGAGGCCAGCCTGGTCTACAAGAGCTAGTTCCAGGACAGGCTCCAAAGCTACAGAGAAACTCTATCTTGGAAAAAAATAAAACAAAGCAAACAAAGTAATTCAAACTGGGCATAACGGGGCACACCTGTACCCAGCACTCTGGGGGCCAAGGCAGGAGGACCTCAAGCCAACCTGGCTGCAAAGTGAAACTCTGTCAACAAGAAAAGAATGGAGAATGCTTGGTGGGTAGGACCGAGCTCAATCTCTAATGCTTCAAATAAATAACACACAAAACCAAAAGACAAGACAAAAAGAAAAATGTAGCACTGCCCCTTTAAAAGAAAAGCATTCCACATTGTTTCTCTCTGAGCTAAGCCTGGAATTAAGGCGAACCGGCTGGCTCAGGCCTCAGAGTCACCCAGCCCAAGCTCTCTGCCCATCTGCTGCCGACTGGTTTTCAGGCCGAAATTCACAAGTGGCTTCCAACAGCTGAAATGATCTTTTTTTATCGAATTGGAATTTCAGTTTGGGGCTGGGATGAGTTGAGTCGCTTGCACACACCCTAAAAACAGGTTCTGTAGATTAGAGAAAGAGTTCTCTGAGTGGAGAGGGCTAAGCAGCCAGTTCTGAAACCACACAGGTTTGTTTCCTGAACATTACCCACAAATCAGGCTCTTTGCGTGAATAGCACAGCTAAAATAGTTCTTCCTGGATTTCACCAGCCAGCTAAATATCCGCTTGTGTTGTGCTCAAAACAATGGGATATCTGCATACCGCGGGCGAGCTGAGGGCGGGGACGGGGCAGCTGCTGGGCAGCTGCCTCAGCCTCAGGCAGCCCCTACGACCTGCTGGTTAGCCCTGGAGAGACCCTCCCAAAGGCTCCCTTTCACAGGTGAGGTCCAGCTAGAACAAACGGGCAGATGTCATGGGTTTATATTTACCTTTGTAGTCAAAGGAAAATTTAAACAGATATTGAGCATGAATGTTCATAATTCTGCCTGTGTTGGCTGAAGTCAGTTACCTCTACAGTGGGTCTCTAGCAGAGTTTTCAACTGTGGGGCTCAAAATTCTCAAAATATATTACCTCATATTTAAAAATCAAAATGATAATTTTATGGACAAAAATCTCTGTTTTAAACTTTTTCTTTTCTTTTTTTTTTTTTTTTTTTTTGGTTTTTTAAGACAGGGTTTCTCTGTAGCTTTGAAGCCTGTCCTAGAACTAGTTGTTGTAGACCAGGCTGGCCTCGAACTCACAGAGATCCATCCACCTGCCTCTGCCTCCCGAGTTTGGGGATTAAAGGCGTGTGCGTAGATATAGATAGAGATAGAGATAGATATAGATATATCCAGCCTGTGCTTTATATTTTCCACATATACAGCAAGGCATTAGACATGCAGCAGGCACCCCAAGAAGTTATGTTTTGTAAAAACACATTAGCCAGGTGCAATGGCACACACATGTATTCCCAGCATTCAAGAGACAGAAGTAGGAGGATCAGGAATTCAAAGACAGCCTCAGCTACTTGAGACCACGTCAAAAGAAACAGAGCAACTCACAAAAGCATTAAAGGGACCGTGAATGCTCTATCCGGAGTTTAGACCACACGTCTGCACAGCCTAGCAGCACACACATCATTACACCCAAACTGTGCTAAGTACTTTCCGTTCCTGTGTCCTCTCTTCCAGAATTGCAGGCCATAGAGGGCAGCTGTGAGGGCTGAATGAGGTGGGGCTTGGAAAAGGCCACACGTTCCTGTTACCCTTATTTTATATGAGACAAACATCACCCCAGCCACAGCTAATCCGCATCACTGAGCAGCCAGTCTCTCCTTCCTTTAGTATAGTTTTCGTCTGTTGCTGTTGTTCTCGCTGCGTGCTGTGTGGCGTTTTTGCTTTGTTTTGTGTTAGACAAAGCTGGCTTCTTCAGTCTCCCGAGGGCTTGGATTACAGGTGCGCAGCACTATGTCACCTTTCCAGGGCATCCAGGTCACACCCATAGCTCCGTTTGAAAGGAAAGGCCGTCTCAAGAGAAGTGCAAAGCCGGGCGATGGTGGCGCACGCCTTTAATCCCAGCACTCGGGAGGCAGAGGCAGGCGGATCTCTGTGAGTTCGAGACCAGCCTGGTCTACAAGAGCTAGTTCCAGGACAGGCTCCAAAGCCACAGAGAAACCCTGTCTCGAAAAACCAAAAAAAAAAAAAAGAGAAGTGCAAGCACAATTCAGTACCCAGGCTTGCTGGTCTTTCTGTGTGCTACTTCACATCAGAGTCTCAGCACCACCCTTGGGAGTCCGTTACTAACGTCTCAGACACAGGAACAAATGACTGGGCAGTGGTGGGTTAACAATCGGGAGGCAGGGGTATAACAAATGCACAGGCCTGGGGCTCAGGGTGCCGAGATGGGTTCCTTCCTCCATTCCTGTCTGTTGCTAGTAACGCTCTGATCAGCCATAAAGCCTGTTCCAACCTGCCCCGGGGGAACACAAACCCAGTTAGGTGTTGACTTACGCCATGAAGTCATTTCTAGAGCGCAGGCACGAGGGTGAGTAAAACCAAGCGAGGGTGGCCACTGACACCCTGTGCTGCAGCCAGAAGGAATGAGATGCAAACAACCCATGAAAGGAGCTCCAACGGAGCAGACAAAAAACAAGTCAAACAGAAAGTACAGCATGGAACCATTTCTGTTTCTAAGGGTCACACAAAACAGTGAGGGCACGGCACGAATGCACGGACATCCTTGACTACTGAAGCCTGGACAGGCTTGAGTTTATTAACGTAATGGGTGTGCAGAAGAAAAGGAACAAAGGATGGGGGTGGGGGAGCAGACACTGTCAGAAAATAAAAGATCAAAATACATAAATTCTAATAAACTTTTTTTTAAAGAAAATAAAAGATCACCCACACGCAGGAAAGGAAGTGGTGTGAACACACCAGGCTAACAGCCTTGGCCTCATCCGTATCCATGGAGACCGAGAGACCAGAAGACAGACGTCGGGTTAACACCTTATTATGAATTCAGTGGTTTTGAGTATTTAGTGTTTCCTATCTCAACCGGAGGAGTTCTGACATTCTGGGCTCTTGGCTGCATCTCTTTGTGTTGCTGGACTAATCCCCTTCACCACTGAGTGAAGAGAATAGAAATGCGGGCCACTGAAATGCCATGACAACAGGGACAGGCAAGTTCCACTCTGCTGCTTACCCTTCCCTGCTAGCTCTTCCTCTTTTACCTTTAGGACACCTGTATGCCCCACACTACGCTGTACTTTGCTCACTACTAAATTCCCACACCAGAGATGGCCGCATTAAATTAATAAAGCATCGGAATTTGG